TCAATCAAGTCATGAAACAAAGAACACATATACAACTGGTCACATTATGAATCTCAACATCCGATAATTCATCTCAGATACAGAAAACAATAAAACCATCAACAACAGTTGCACAAAATGCACAATACAATCTAAAAATCAACGTGGGAAATAATAATCACAAACGGCTCACAATTCGGGTTTTCTCAGTCATCGGAATGAATTTAAAAACATATCAAAACTCGAAACCCGTTTTCACCTAATTATAGTGAAATGCCACAGCAGAGAGTAAGAGTACAATTGGCATTCCCATCCAAGATGATGTGCTTGCTCCATTGTCTCTTGTGCTGGCTCCGTTGCCCCTCTCCGGCGCTGCCGTGAAAAAAACATATATTTATACTTAGACAGTAAAAAGTATAAAATATTTGGGAGATGCTACAATCCCGTTACGGAATCATTCCGTCAGGTTTTGTAACCGTTAGATCATCATGTAACTGTCCGGGATAGTTGATCTAACGATTACAAATCTCGACGGAATGGTTTGTAACGAGACAGTAGCATTTTCTTAAAATTTAAATGAAAGTCTAGTCTCCCAATCTGGGCACAACTTAGTATGTTCAACTCAATGTGTGTTAGAATATTGACATGCTATTATTAAAGAAAAATTATGTCTCAAGTGGGTGCAAATTAATATATGCAATATGTTCAACTGACAATGTGTTAAAATATTGACATATTATTGTTAGACCAAAACTATGAGTCAAGTGGATACATCTTAATATACCAACTTAATTCAAGGAATAATTTTAACAATGGGGGGTTTGGTCTAATTTTAAATAAAATGTATCTCAATAAGAGGTGCCCATTGCAACTAAAAGCTAATATTGAAGTACTTGTAACTTAAAATAAGTTGTTTTAAACTAAAAAAAAATAAATAAATAAATAAAATAAGCAAAAACTTCAATAACCAAAAAAAAATGTCTGATTAGAAAGTCATACTCTTTTCATAAATATACATAATTTTATCATCTCATAGTTTAAAATACAATTTAAGAAAAAAAAGTACAACATTTCATATTACAAAAATTTACTTTTATAAGAAAAATATAGTTGTCTATCAGTTAATAGTCTACATTATAAATAAAAGTATTTGCATAGCATAAAATATTTACTTCTATAAGCAAAATAGTATTGTTGTCTACTAGTTAGATAGCTTAATATTAGAACAAAAAAATGACAACTTGTATGATCTGGCTTAGGCTTAACTGAGATTAGCCCATTAATGTCTCTTAGTTAAATAGGTGTTATTTGCCTCTTAATTATATATGACCTCTTTATTAATATATGAGTCTAATAAATGCTTGTGTTGGGACTTGGATAATGTTATGGACAGCTCAAACTACCTGAACTGACCAGCTCATAGTCAACCAATTCAAGTTGATCCAATTAATATGCTAACCAGTTAACCACTAACTTTTAATTTGAAATATGGGACCAAAAAAATGTTTATTTGCCCAGCCCATATGATCTTAGTTTCTTATTTTAATTTATACGTGTAGTAAATTACACTTTATATTAACTAATTTAGCAATATCTCCACTTTTAATACTACAATGCACAATGTAATTACCAATGTAGTGAAGAAGTGGGCATAATTAATGTCCACAATATAGAGAAGAATGTAGTTCATCCACATTCTCTTTCACATTCTAATCAACCAATTGAGAGATGAGAAAGAAATATTATTACCATTTTTAAAATATCTAATTATTTAACTTTTTTTGTTTTTTATTTATAATTTTTTTGTTTTTTGCCAAGTGGACAACATTGTAGATATTTTTTTAGATCTAAAGTTGTGAACTTAACAAATATCTTATGTGGTTCACAATCCATCTAAATAATTGACATTTTGTCAAAATATATGTGATAACAACATTTTTGCGGTGATACTAAGTGTCAAATTTTAAGAAAAATAACAACATGTTCATGTGATAACAACATGTCAAATTCTAAGTGATAACAACATTTTAGGAGACTAAGTGTCAAATTCTAAGTGATAACAATAAAATTTATGTGATAACAACATTTTAGGAGACTAAGCCTATGTTTGGTAGACAAATAAGCTAGCTTATAGCTTATTTGGTTAGCTTATAAGCTCCCTGTATTCAAATAAGTCTCGTTTGGTAGGACGAGCTTTTTTAAAAAGCTCGAGTTTATTTGATAAGCTTCCTTAGGTAGCTTTTCAAATAAGCTAGTTGAATTTTTTATTCCAGCTAGCTTATCAGCTAATTTTACCAAACACTTTTATCATATAAGCTAGCTTATCAGCTATAAGTCATAAGCTACAAGCTATAAGCTAAAAAATTACTCATAAGCTATAGACTACCTTATCAGCTATCAGCTAGTTGTACCAAACATAGCCTAATTGTCAAATTTTAAGAAAAATAAAATAGATTAAGGAAAAAAATATTCCCCATTAACTAGTCCAAGTTCATCAGGAATCATGGTTATTTACTTATTTTTAATTCATTGGGCCATATCTACTTAATTCTTCATTTATATTAATTTAAATGTATCCATAAACTAACTAAAAAAAAGGGAAAAAACTTAATAATTGAATATTTAAAAAAAAAATTGTGAACAAGTTTGATACCTGGAGGTGGGTGGTGAGAGGAACCTGTTGGAGCCACAGCTGATATAAAAGAACAAGAAAAGATCATAATTAATTCAATACTAGTACAATACCCACGTACAACTTAGGTGTTGAGTTAAAAAATATATGATGAAAGTTATTGATTTCTAATGACAAACCTAGTTGTAGAGCAAAAATAATATATAAACACGATCACGAAGCATAGATTTTCGCCATGTAGCATCCGAAACGTGAAGCTGTCATTTAAGCTCAACACGTTTTGAATTAATATATAGGGAGAGATTTGCACAATTTATCCAATTACAAGAAAACAAATATATAAATAAACTCAAATTAATGAAACTAAACATTTCTCCCAAATCGTTTCACTTCTCATCTGATCTACTCAGCAGAAAATACATTTTTTTAGGAAGAATTAATTCAAACCAACCAGACAATTTCACCTTGAAATTTTCTCCGATCTACAAATCCCTAAGAAAAAAAAAGGGGGAAAATCGAAGGCAGCGTACCATTGCAGACGCTGACGTCACTGGAGATGTTGCAGCGCCGTGGGATCTGAAGCGCTTGCGTCATGTTGATCCCGGGAAGGGCCGCCTGATTTTTGTACAGGGAGCAGAGGCACGTCAGCTGGGTCGTCACGACCTGCCGTATGGCGGAGCAGCAGGCGCTCGACGGTTGCGTGGAGTTCAAGGCGTCCGCGCAGGGGATCAGGTCGGAGGCGCATCCCATCTGCCCCGCCGCAGGTCCGGCGGCTGCCGCCAGGGCCAAGACCGTCAAGACCGCCGCGATTGTGGAGGAGAATGCCATTTTTTATATACGACTTTCTCTCCTTTTCTTTTTCGATTTTCGATGTGTACTATAGGAGGTTTTCAAAGCTGTATTTATAATTTGTTTTGGGTGCTATACCATGCTATTGGTTCTTTTTTTCTTTTTTATTTTTTTTACTTACATTTATAATTTTTTTTATGGATCCAACCTCTAAGTACAAATTTTTAACTCAAAACTAGTACGAACCCCGTGCGATGCACGGGTAAAAGATATTTATTAATATTTATAAATTAAAATTTTCAATGTTATCTGAAATTTAAATTGTGCAAAAATCACATAGAACATGTTTATTTAAAATTAATACACGACCCGACAACGAAGCGCAGTTTGAGTGGTAAGACGTTCGTTTCACCTATGACCAATAAGTCATGAGTTCGAGTAACTGAGTATGAGAACTGAGAACACTATTGATCCTCCTTAAAAAAAGAGAGGTAAAATTAGTACAAAATCTCTACGGTGCATATGAACAGGTACACAATCATCCATGTATTGATTTCATATTTTATTTAATAATAAATGTTGTACTCATTTTTATTTGCCACTCTATTTTTTATATTTACTTATAATTCAAAATATAATTTATTTTATAATATTATTTTCCAATTTTATGAGGATACGATTTCTTTCTTTTTTCCCCAAAAATATTCGATGAAGTTTTACGCCTCAAACTTAACAATGTATGTGGTGATTAAATAATATTTTTTTAATTTGTACAACAAATATTTATTTAAAATACATTGAAATATTTAAAAAAAATACATATTAATCTTATCTTATTTGGTTTTACATCTTACGAACATAGTTAAGAAATTAAAAAAAAAAAAATATCTTTATTATAAATTTAGAAAAACACTAACCGTTTACACATTTTGAATTATCAATCTTATCAATAAAATTTTTATTATTTTTATATACCATCTACCTAACCACTAAAATTTTATTTCATATATATTTAAAAAATTAAATTTACTAAGTGCAAAAAAAAAGAAAAATTTAAATTTACCTCACGTTTTAACTTCAGTATTTTTCAAATTTTCTTCTTATTCTATAGGTGAATATATTATTTTAACACAATATCTTATGTCCCTGGGAAGATTTCTAAAATTTTCATCAAAATTTTTTTAAATTTCATCAAAAAATTTGAATTCACCATTCCTTCTTAATGCATGTTTCCGAAAAAATCAGTATTTATTGCACGGAATTTTCAACAATCCCTAAATAATCCCACTGTTTTAGATTTCATTTAATGATGCCTTTAAAAAGTAAAAAATAAAATAAAAACTTGTTATTAATAGGATGTAATTAATGTTGAACTATGTTTGACCAAAGTTGATCTGTTATTTTTAAAAAATGATTGTTCTTTTTATATAAGTATAGATAGATTTAGTATTCATAAAATCTAATTTAACTCTATTAAATATTATTCATACGATTAAATAATATGAATCAAGCATTATTACATGTTTTTCAATATAATTTATTTCCTTTGACTTACATACATTTTAACTACCAATAATTTTTTTTTTTTTTCGAAATGATAGAATTTATAGATAAATATAAAATCACAAATACAATTAGACAGATAGACTAAAGCCAAGCAGCTATCAAGTTGAATATAATTGGAGACTCTGATGAAGGGAGCCCAGAGAAACTACTAAAACACCCACGGGAACACATAAACTAAACAAACTAAAGTTCCCAAAAAATGAGAATCTAGCTCCTACAAGAGGAGAACTAAGACCAAAACAAGAAAAACAAACACAACAAACATAAACACAAAAACTACAACCCAACAACAACAAATCACTACACACAAATAAAATAGAATAACACATTCCTCTTTACAGAAGAATCAAACCGCAACGCACCACGACCCAACACCTAGACAAACACCACACTCAAATAGGACTTCGGTTTGAGCACTGTTCCAGAAACTCTAGTGTAGTCACGGCTAGTTGGAACCACGCTAGACAACCTAAATATTTTCCCAGACGAATCGCTCCTGGAGCTAAAACCAGAGGTCGACCACCTACACTCCTCCGATCAACTAAAACCTTCAGCCGACCCACAAACCACCCAGCTACCAAAAACCCCCCAAACAATTAACCCACCGACCATGCAACCACCTTCATCACATAGCTCAACAACCGCCACCAAACCAAGAGGACGACGAAAGGAGGGGGGAGAGAGCATTACCTCAGCCCTGACTAGCTCCGAGTAGGCTGGTCAGAACACGCCGGACGCCACCGGTCAAACCCCGGGTACCCCATACCGCAACAAAGGCGCATTGGAAGATTAGTGAGACCTGCACCCAGTGGAGGTTCGTGGCTCTAAGCGAGGCAAGTTGTGCAGACAACGGCGGGCGACGTCGGGCTACACGACATGCTCTACGGAGAGGAGACAGTGACGACGGAGGGTCAAGACCTGTGCCAGCTAATTTGGGAGGAAAGAATTTTTTAGGGAAGAGCTAGAGAGATTTTTTTTTG